ACCCTAAGCAATGCCGCCCGCTCCTCTCCGTTCCGCCCCGCTTGTTGCTGGCGGGTGCGGGCGTCTGGGGTACTTTTCTGCTGGGAGTTGCTTTTAGGCACGTAATCTGTGGGCCTTATTTAATTTTTCCTCCCAGTTAGATTGCCAAAAACTTCCCCCAGTCGCGCCAGTGCGAGGGTTTCCTGGTGATTGGAAACTTCCTCTATTAAGACTCCCTTCCCGGGACGGGTCTCGGTCCCTAGCTCTTTTGTCTCCCTTTTTATCTTTTATATTTTGTCCTACCTCCCTTCGAAGACAATGGGTTGCTTTTCTGGGCGCCTGATGTCCTCTGCTAGCGATCAGAAGTTGTTTTGTGAAATTTGCTCAGTGTTCAAATGTTCTTTCGATGAATTTGTAGGAGAGAAAGTGGTCTCCCCGTCCTATTTCTCCGCCATCTTCAGGTCCTTCATTCATGGTCACATCCTTTCCAATTATATTAATACATTTAGTCGTTGGCTAATGCCACCTACTGGATGTATCTTGAAAGTGAAAGTGAAAGTTCCTCACTCAAGTCCAACTATTTGCAACCCCATGGCCTATACAGTCCTTGGAATTCTCCAGGCCAGAATACTGGAGTGGATAGCCTTTCCCTTTCTCCAGAGGAGCTTCCCAACCCAGGAGCCAAACCAGGGTCTCCTGCATTGCAGATGGATTCTTTACCAACTGAGCCATTAGTGATACATCTTGGTGGTGGTTTAGTCGTTAAGTCGTGTCCAACTCCTGCAACCCCATGGACTGTAGGCTGCCAGGCTCCTCTGTCCGTGAGCTACAAGGGAAGCCCACTAGATATATCTTAGTCCCTTATTTTCCTATCTGCATGTCATCATCACTCTACTATGACCATGATGCCTATGAACCCAGCATCACTGTGCCCCATCAGCTTCTTAATATTATTCTTAATATCATCTTCTCATTTTCCAACAGTCTGACTGCACATGGTACACTGGCTTCCACAGTCCCAAAGAGCTGTTTTTACCACCCATGGCTATTCAATGTTAACCATGGCACAGTCTGGGACCCCACTCAGAACTGGGCAAGGAGAACTTGGCCTTCAGACTTCTTTCTGTCTTTGCAGATGGAGTCAATTCAGCCACCCTGTCAGTCCCTTCGGTTTGCATTCCCATTGGCATCACTGGATTAACTTCTGAGATGAAAGCAGCAGATTGAACAGGGTTCCTTAAGGGAAGCAGCTGCAGGAACTTGAAACCATTTCCTTCCTCCTGACTGGCGACAACCTTCCAGGAAACCTTTCATAGGAATCCTGTCCATTTTTGCTCTTTTCAGTCTGAGTTTTAAAAGTCACCTCAAGAGAGCTGACAGATTCTTCTCTAGCCAAGCTCTTTCTTCTGAATGGCCCAGATTTTTTTTTTTTTCCCCCATCAGTGAAACCCAGTATGTCAGCTGCTAGGGTAAACTTCTCCACAAATCACACATCCTCTCCTTCCTTGCCCAAAGGAGCGCCACCTGGGAACCCAAGGCTAGGGCCCTCCCTGAATCACCATGTCTACCAGAGTGTAGGTAAGAGGATAAGGCTTGAGGAATCTAATTTATTTTCCTTCTATTATTATTATTAATTTTTGTTTGGTCACTAAGTCATGTCTGACTCTTTGAGACTCCCATGGATTATAGCCTGCCAGGCTCCTCTGTCCATGGGATTTCCAGGCAAGAATACTAGAGTGGATTGCCATACCCTCCTCCAGGTAATTTTCCTGACCCAGGGATGGAACCCACATCTCTTATGTCTCCTGCATTGCGCGAAGCCCGTTGCACAGGGATTATCAATTGTCAGTTATATCTTGAACCACTTTCCCCTGTTTTATAACCTAGTTTCCCACTGGTTTTATCTCAATGATCACCCTCCTGCTAATTCAACAGGGCATACTGCTGTGTCATCCATCTCCCAATAGTACAATTTATCCCCAGTATTTTCCTTGCAGGGTTTCCTATCTCAAACTCAGGGAGGATCAGGGTCAAGTTCTCACCAGAACTCCCTCCCAGAAACTTGGGCCACATTGAGACTGAAAGGGTCTGAAAGCCAAGTCACCTTCCATCACCACTGCTGAGGTTTTGGGTTCAAACTGTCAGTCAGACCCTCCAGACACAATAGACTTTAACCTGATATTGTGTTTATTCGGTCCTCTAGGTGCAGACAGGGCAGGTAATACACCAGACACAGCATCTCCATCTTGGGGGTGGGGAGGCAGCCACTCAAGAGCGTTCTTGGCCCCCGGCTCTTCAGGCCACCACACAGCTCCCCTGGGCAGGAGCCACAGCACAGGGCACAAACACCTCATTCCTGTTACCTTAAGGCCATTATTTTCAAGGAAACCATCGTGCAGTACACCTTAAATTCATACAGTTCTGTGTCAGTTATTTCTCCATAAAGATAAAGAAAAATAAAAAAAAACAGTTATTTAGCCTTAACAATCCCACAGCAGTGAAAACTATTGGCAATATAAATGAACATCCTTTTTAAAGATTGCTAAGAAATCAATTTCCAGTTTTTTTTTGTAAGATTACAACAGTTACGTGTACTTTGGGTGATCAGCTTTCATTTCAGACTTATTTACTCAAAAGTCAATTACTTATACATCTTCCATTCAGTTCAGTTGCTCAGTTGTGTCCAACTCTTTGCGATCCCATGGACTGTAGCACGCTAGGCTTCTCTTTCCCTCCAGAGCATACTCAAACTCATGTCCATCGAGTCAGTGATGCCACCCAGCCATCTTATCCTCTGTCATCCCCTTCTCCCACCTTCAATCTTTCCCAGCATCAGGGTCTTTTCAAATGAGTCAGTTCTTCGCATCAGGTGGCCAAAGTGTTGGAGTTTCAGCTTCAGCATCAGTCCTTCCAATGAATATTCAGGACTGATTTCCTTTAGGATGGACTGGTTGGATGTCCTTGCAGTTCAAGGGACTCTCAAGAGTCTTCTCCAACACCACAGTTCAAAAGCATTAAGTCTTCAGTGCTCAGCTTTCTTTATAGTTCAACTCACATCCATACTTGACTACTGGAAAAGCCATAGCTTTGACTAGACAGACCTTTGATGGCCAATTAATGTCTCTGCTTTTTAATTTGCTGTCTAGGTTGGTCATAACTTTTCTTCCAAGCAGCAAGCGTCTTTTAATTTCCTGGCTGCAGTCACCATCTGCAGTGATTTTGAAGTCCCCCAAAATAAAGTCAGCCACTGTTTCCACTGTTTCCCCATCTATTTTCCATGAAGTGATGGGACTGTATGCCATGATCTTAGTTTTCTGAAAGTTGAGCCTTAAGCCAACTTTTTCACTCTCCTCTTTCACTTTCATCAAGAGGCTCTTTAGTTCTTCTTCACTTTCTGCCATAAGAGTGTTGTCATTTGCATATCTGAAGTTATTGATATTTCTCCCGGTAATCTTGATTCCAGCTTGTGCTTCATCCAGCCAAGCATTTTTCATGATGTACTCTGCATGTAAGTTAAATAAGCAGGGTGACAATATCCAGCCTTGACATACTCCTTTCCCGATTTGGAACCAGTCTGTTGTTCCATGTCCAGTTCTAACTGTTGCTTCTTGACCTGCATACAGATTTCTCAAGAGGCAGGTCAGGTGGTCTGGTATGCCCATCTCTTGAAGAATTTTCCACAGTTTATTGTGATTCACACAGTCAAAGGCTTTGGCGTAGTCAATAATGCAGAAGTAGATGTTTTTCTGAAACTCTCTTGCTTTTTTGATGACTCAACAGATGTTGGATAACTTATTAGTCAAATAGAATTTTTTCTTGCCCAGTTTATTTAGATGGTCTGGCAATATGTAGAGAATACCAGAATATTTAGTTTTTCCATTAAAACATAACACTTGAGAGCTTTATTGAATGGACTCATGTATATGATACAGCAGGATAAATCATTAAAACTTGACTGGAAACAAAAGTCAACTCACCTTGATATGCTTTATCTTTTCATTATAATAATGCTATCATTTATCATGATAAAGCCTCAGTTATGGCTCTGAAGCACTTGTTATACATGCCTTGCCTTATTCTATGACTTCAGTGCTTCTATTTTTCTTATGACAGGATGATGAGATAAGGGAAAGCCGCTTCAGCTTCACAGCTTATGGAATGGGGCCTTGTCTGCAAAGCAAAGAAGGTGTGACCCCAAGGGGCCCCAACCATCCTGTCCAAGTAATGCCGAAGAGCCCAGATGAGATGAGGAAGGTCTTCATCGACCGGGCCAAGAGGATTGACACCATCTCCCGAGCCTGCTTCCCATTAGCCTTTTTGATTTTTAATATTTTCTACTGGGTTATCTATAAAATTCTTAGGCATGAGGATATTCATCAGCAGCAAGATTAAGTATCAGGGAGTGTGCAAGTGTGCAAACTCAGTATGCCAACTCAGAGGGAAGGCTTTTTGCCATAAGGGTGTTTCTGTGTGTGTACGTGTGTGTGTGTGTGGTGTACAAATGATGGCCATTGTGCTCGAGTGACATATGCAAAGGTGTGATTATGACTTGCTATGCAAAGTCATCAGGCAGTTATGATTCCTTTAATGAATACAAAATATATGTATTATCGGGATTCTATTTCATTAAGATTATCTGTTCTTTCACAGTAAATTTTACAAGTGGACATATTATTGTAAATGTGTTTGTATGTAATATGATGTCACATAATAGTACATGTGAAAACTGCTTTGAAATTCTTTGATTTTTCAATTCAGTATTAAATATCACAAAAGTTAAATTTGCACAGAAAACTTTTAAAAAGGAAAAACAGGAAATGTTGAAGATTTTAAAAATGTAGCTTGAGGCTTTAAATTATTTTCTTATACTTGCAGTTACAAAACAGAAAAATAATCAGATAGTTAAGTGACAAATTCACTCAATAATAATAGAAAATTGTACATACAAATGCTATAGAACCAACTTAAGTAATAGAAAATTAAAATCAGAAGATTAAAGTAAAAAACTTTTATTGTTTATATACTAAATTTAATTGTTTAAAATATCAAATTTCCCTCTTTGGAAATGTTTTCAATGGCCTAAGCAATCATATTATACATAAAATCTACTTTTCTTAACTTTATATATCTGTGAATGAATGTAGATATACTAAAAACACTATTGTTTTTAAAAAGTATTATAGCTATGTATTTTTCTTTGTTGCCAAACACTGAAAAAATTCAAGCCAGCATCTTTGTTTTGTTAGATTTTTAATAGTTGGTTAATCATCTGTAAGTAATTATGTTTATTGTTTTGATGTAGTTGAACAAAGTTCAGTAAGACTTTTATATTTTAGTTTAGAATGAGGCTTTAAAATTCAGTAGGATTATAGTATTTACATTTTGGTAAAATTGAATTTAATGAAAACCAAAATAGATTTAGGAAGGTTTTTTAAAATAAGAACAGACTTCCCATCAAAGTTATATGGGTTCCAACTCATAGCCCTAAACATAAGGAAGGAAGATTTTAACTCTACATTATATAAATAAGTCACTTCTATAAATGAGAATTGATTGTTTTGTATTTATGAATTAATAATTTCAATATATAAGACATCCACTAGTTGTGAATAATTCTAAATAAAAATCTTACTTAAAACTTATCAGCAACCCCATGGAATTATTTCAACTACAATGGGGCATTAACTCATTTTGTGCAATGTAATTAGGTGCAAATATATGATAGAGTTTTGGAGTTAAATTGAACCAGACTCTGATTACAGTTTTGCTATTTTTTGCATTATTTTTATCATCAATGTTGTATTTTTAAAAAGCTCTATAATCCTTTTTAAAAATGTTTAATTACTGGTCAGATTCTCTAGATAGAAACTCAAGCCAAATTACTGACAGAGAAAGGTTTGATCATGAAGAAAACAACTAAATCAGATTTAAGAGGGATAAATAAGGCACTTTTGAACAAGATGGTACTATTTTCTGATCTTTAACTGTTATTAAACTAAAAGCAAGAGCTTCCATTTAAAGCTAAAATGTTTCAATGTTATTGAACTTTGGTCTACCTAATTGTACTTTTAAAAAAGCAAATGTAAAAATAATGTATATTTGGCAATTTTTGCTACTAAAACACCAAATTTTCTTACTTTGTAGGCAATTTAAAATACAGTTAGGGGGAAAAAAGGGTTGCCATTAAATGAAAATGCCACAGCCGAAGATACTACTAGGTACTTTATTTTGAGGACTCTGCATCTCGAAGTTAAACATGTCCTTCTTCATTGAGTGTTTATGAACCAAAATCATGGAAATATATTCTTGTACTAAAGGTAGATTAAAGCTCGATATGTTGTTTGTGTTCTCTGAGGATAAGCTAGTGGGTTTAAGTCGATGATAAGCTATGTGTTGTCTCAACATATCTCTGAAATACTTGAATACATTTTTTCTATACTTCATACATCTTATTTTTAGAGTTCTTCATCATTGCTTAAATTAAATGAATTCTGCCAAAAGCAAACATACAATGTTTGTTTAGACATACATAGACATAGGCAATGAACCTACACCCCTAAAGAAATTTATGAACATCACTTGTTTTTACATTTGAGAATATTAAAAGTGTCTCTTTTTTTAAGCTTGAAACTTGGAATGTTTCCAATACATATACTAGCCACTAGTATACAAAAATACTAGCCATGAAACAACTTTTTCAGCAAGGGCGTTGATATGGTAGAAATCTCTCTATCTCAAAAGGATTAAATTTTACTTAGGTATATATACTTATATATATGCAAAGAAAATACTCTGAAATTTTTTTTTTTAATTTAAAATGGAGTTCCCTGGCAGTCTAGTGATTAAGACTCTGTGCTTCCAATGGAGGGGGCACAGGTTTAATCCCTGATAGGGTAACTAAGATCCCACATGCCGCATGGTACAGCCAAAAAAAAAAAAATACTCTGATGTTTCACTCATATGGCAACAGTGACATTGCAAATATATCTGAATCCAAAAAGTTTAAAGGAAACTGTCCCCTTTAATGAACTCCTCAGTTCAGATCAGTTCAGTCGCTCAGTCGTGCCCGACTCTTTGTGAGCCCAATAGACTGCAGCGGCACACCAGGCTTCCCCATCCATCACCAACTCCCAAAGATACCTTTTAAAATGAACTCCTAGATACCCTTTAAAATGGTGAAACTTTATTGTAATTAGCATCCTAAGGCAGTATTTGCCTAAATGAGCCCTGTGTCAAACCCTGATATTTCAAATTAAACCAATTGCAAATCTATTAATGATGTGTAAATTAAAATGTGTGCATATGCCCTGAGTACCCACACATAGGTTGAAATTCCAATATAGATATTCTGAAGCATTTTGAAATGGTCACATTAGAAAGTTTGTTATTTTTCTACATGCAATTTGCTTCACTTTTTTTTTTCTAATTTTGTATCTCAACCACTGAAATCTGTGGTTGCATGTGAATTTTAGGAAACCCTGTATTGATACCTTAGCATATACTATGTAACATCTTTTTCTTTCCCAGCTATTAGAACTGGAGTTTAACTATAGTGAGGACCTAGAACTTTCTTTACTATTTAAAACAGATTCCAGAAAGTTGCTGTAGAAGCAGAAATCCAAGGGTTTCTAAAACATCTCCATACTTTCTGGATGTTTCTCCAGAATACTTAGTCACCTGGAGAGCCTATGCCTCCCCCAGTTGCTGAATTTAAGGGGCTGTACTCACTACTTATCCTATAGTAAATTCCTATTCTATAGGTATATTCATTCTAACAACTTTAATTTTAAATTATAGATGCTTTCAATCTGTATATCCCTAAAATATGGGTACATTCATTGTGCTTATAAATTCCCAGGATCTTATGGAAGATAATGGAAATTTTAGGGCAAAACAGTAAGAAAATGAGGCTGCATGTTTGATGGAAGAGAGAAAGTTGTTAACTGTTTTAACGCTTTGTGCAACTTATGTAGTTATGATTTTAAGAGGAAAATAAGTGTATCCTCCATACTATACATTCCCTTTTCTGAATGTCTTTCACCCTGTTTTTAAAAATATAGTTTTCTATTCTGAACATGATATACCTCAACCTGCTTCACTTTGGAATACTGAGTTATATTGGCAGCTAAATTGTTCTTTCATCTACAGAGCACACATTCCGTGAAAAGTACTCAAGGAAAGATGGGACTTGCCAACACTAAACATAGAAAAATTTTTCAATATTAATTAAATAGGAAGTGGGCAACACTGACATTCACAGGTGTCCTCTAACAACCAGTTAGAGCCCTCTCAGAATGAAACTCAGAAGGCATATAAGCCACAGTTCTTAGACCAATGAATCATTAATAATCTTTGAGGTCCTGTCTCCAACTCTAAATAGATTTCACAGACCTTGAAACATAGATAACAAGAACAGTTCTCAAAATTTATGAGCATATACCATCTGTATTTCTCATCTAGTTGATGCTGACCTAGTAAAGAAAAGCAACACACCCTAAGGACACAGCACTGACATTTATATAGTCTGTCTGTCCATACTCATGAATGCTGACAAGGCAAAGACTGCAAGGTAAAGAACTTGACTGAAACACATGAAAATAAAAAGTATGGGTTCCACCTCAAGGCATTTTAATTTTAACAGTCTATCCAAGGCAAATATCATCAGTGAAACTAGAGGCTATGCATTAATATTTATGTTAGTTCATTTAGGGGATTAGTTGGAAATTGTTTCAGTGACTCAAAGAGTAGTTTCTGCACCTTTATAATTGTAAATTTGTCTTTTGAGTTATATTTACTTATCAAGAACAATTATGGTAATGACATTTTGCTTGTTCATTTGGGTATTCAATTTTTAAACTAGAACATTATATTGCCTATCCTTGGCTTTTGGACTGAGTTACATGCAATTATAGAGATATTGGAACTTTTAGCACCATCATCAGCTCTGGCAGACTATACAGACTTGCCACTGTCATGTGCATTTCAGAGAAGAATTGGGTTGCAAAAACTGCACAACTTTTTAAAGTGACAAATTTCAATATCTCTTAAGACTGTATCCTGAACTAATTTGCTCAAGCAAAACTAAAGGATTTTCTGGTGCAGTTTTTCCAGTATTTTTGACAAGACCACTATCCTTTGTTGAGCCTGCCTGAACAACGAGCAGTGGAAAGGTAAGACCATGAGGATTAGAATTCCAAAAAAGACTGTAATTTTGAATATAATGGCAACCAAATCTTCTTCCCCACAATGCCTACATAATTCCTTACTGTATCCTCTTCTTGGGACCATTCATAGCAGTGCAGAAACAATCTTGTCCAGCCCAGTGATCAGTGAATAACAACTTTTAACTAAGCAAACAGTCACCATCTCAGTTTCCATGACTCATTTTAGACCTTCAAGTTCACCAACTCATCTCTTTAATGAGGGATGCTAAAAAATGATAAGAATTAAAGTTTGTGTCTGGAAGACAGTGGGCTGCTTTTCAATTAAATATTTTAGAAACTACAGTGCATATGAACACACAGGTTCCCCCTTGATTGAATACAAATAAAACACCCATAATATCTGATCTGTCTTCCTCAGCAGATGCATTGGTTTTTATTTGCTGGTTCAAGTATTACAAACAGTGATGAAAAGTGAAGTGAAAGTGTTAGTTACTCAGTTGTGTCTGACTCTTTGAGACCCCATGAACTGTAGCCTGCCAGGCTCCTCTGTCCACAGGATTCTCTAGACAGAAATACTGGAGTGGGTAGCCATTCCCTTCTCCAGGGGATCTTCCTAACCCAGGGACTGAACCTGGGCCTCCGGCATTGAAGGCAGAGTCTTTACCATCTGAGCTACAAGGGAAGGCCCAACAAAGAGTGATAAAATATAGCAGTCTCGTTTTATTTTTTTTTTCTGTTTTATTCTTATTGCTATATAAACTCTCTGTGAATAAACAAGTAAGACACAATAGGAAGGAACTGTGTTAATTTAATAACTTTAAAATTAAACTTTTATCCCAGCCACCATTCCTCTTTAAAAATATACTCAACTTCCATAAGGAAACGGTTGTTGTTCTAATTACTTAAAAAGTGAAGCACGTATTCTTTGATAACAAGGATGCCTAGAGCCCATGTGTAAAATATAGCCCCTGAGGATTTGAAAATAACTCAGGCAAGGAAATATCTGGAGAAGCTTCTATCAGAAATCAGCCTAAAGAACAGAACCCTGAGCCAGTTGCTAGGATACTCTTACTCATTCTTTCTTCTACCATTTTTATGTTGCCTTCCTCTCTTCCCTTCCCTTCCCCCCTCTTTCCTTCCCTTCCCCCTTCCTCCAAAGTGTGTGATAAGCACACACACTTATCATTGCTGTTGTTTGTGGGATAAATGTCTTCAAACTGGAAATGCAAAAAAAGTCAGCTTTTCTAGGAAGATGTTCTTAATTCTGTGATGTGTTTTGCAATATCAATGATTTCTGGTGGGAAATACGAGCAGTGCAGTCTTTTGATTTGGCCATCTCTTATTTATGAAACCAGAATATTTTGGCCCAAAAGCATAAGAACAAAGCTATGTGGGTCAAATTTTTCTCCAACTATTAATGATAGAATTATAAAACACTGCTTGGACTGTGTTTGAAGAATGACTAAATATTTGTCAAACAATTCTTCCGAAAGACAATCAGTAATAACTAGTGCTACATATAAAACACACTAAAAGGTTTTGATGGTGGTAGAGTATTATTTTAAAAAATAGTGATTTTGATTCCTGGCTGTACATTAATATCCCTTACATACATTTTTGAACATGTATACATGCTGGTGTTCAACATGAGATTATATAATTCAATCATTGGTTTAACAAATATTCCTATAGCATCTTCTAGGTACCTGGCATTGTTGTGAGTGCTGAATTTGGTATGTTCCTAGTAAGTATGGAATTCTGGGTTATTGACAAGAGTTCCACAAGTGAGAACAATTGACATGAGCATACACAAACCTATTCTTTAATAATACTCAATTTATCACTGAATGTTTTATAATTTTTCTTTCTTCACATGCATTGTAATTATTTCTCATTTATGTCTTTATAATTAAAAATTAAAGATAAACCTTTGAGTTGTTTCAGTTCAGCTTTCCTTCCAGTGTCAGAATCTTCACCATCTGTGGTACATTCCTCGTACAAAATGTACCAGAATGCTCCAGAATTATCCACATTCTCCTGAAACTCTTAGAGTGATGGAGAGTTCATTATTCTGAATGCAGCCTCTTCTGCTGTGACAAAGCTTTAAGAGATTAAAAAAAAAAAAAAGGTTATCAAGAGATGATTCTACTTAATATATTCCAACTAAGTCTCCCCCACCTACTTAAGGACAGTGCATCATGTGTTTTTTCATATCTACTTCCTGTGTGGGGGCTTCATCAATATTCCTTTTTAATCTCCTATCACTAGCTTTATTCTAATTTCAGTAAATTATTGATGCACTTTGTGTTCAACAATGAGATGTTTCAAGTGCATAAAACAATGAAATATAAAATTGTCTTTGTCAATAAATAGAAATTGATAAAATTCTATGTAAATCATTTGTAGTATCTTTAAATGTCTTCCTATAATGTGGCAATAATTTTCAATTAAGTGTTTAACAATGTATTTTGTGATATGAAGCTGTTAGAAAAAAAGCCCTAATGGGGCTTCCCTAGTGGCTCAGATGTAAAGAATCTGCCTATAATGTAGGAGACTGGGATTTGATCCCTGGATCAGAAAGATCCCTGGGAGAAGGGGATGGCTGCCCAGTCCAGTACTCTTTTCTTTTTTAAAATCTGATTGCACC